TGGACCTCAGTTCAATGTAGACATTGGTTGGTGGCTCCCACAAGCTTTGTACCACTGTTGCACAGCGTATCTTCTAGGTAGGCTACTCTTGTAGATCAAAGGCTTTGTGTCGGGGCTGGTGTTTGTTTCCTCGTTGGTAGCATGCGGAATACTAACCAGCACCATGAATACTAGTTCATAGTGGTGAAGGGTCTAGATAGGCACAAGCTCCGCTTATCTGTGTTCAGTGAATTGTGTAGGTGTTGTCTTCAGCAATAGTGCCTTACTGTCAGTTTGTGGAGAGGCACCAATATTGCCTTGGCACTAGCCCAAATTATTTGAGGGTTCCCCTGGGACCCTTTTGGCCGACAACTTGATTATATCTAACCCATTCCCATGGTATTGGAAGCTTCATTTGGTAATGAGATATGTCCAGTTGGGGCTCTATCTTATGACATTATTGGGGGACTAGTAATATAATATATATTTATTATAATATGCAGTTATATATATTATAGGAAACTTCTACTGTTTCTTTAGACACTTTAGTTTTAGTTTTTCCTTCCTAAATTTCCTCCCTTGCTCCTCTCTTCCTCCTTTATCTCTGTTTGATCCTCCAGTTCCAGTCCCTTACCTTGTCTATCCATGACTATCTATTATTCCATTTCTTCTCCTAGGGAGATCCCTTATCCTTTACTTAACCTCTGTGGTTTATATGTATTGTAGCCTGCTTATTAATTACCTAACAGCTAACACCCACATATACATGAGTACATACCACATGGGGCTATATGTAGCCATATAGTTACCCTAATCAGGATGCTTTTCTTTTTTAATTCCTTTTATTTACCTGTGAATTTTACTTCATTTTAAAAAATGTACTGAATTTTCTTTATCCACTCATCCACTGAGAGACGTATAGGTTGTTTCTAATTTCTGGATATTATGAATAGAGCGGCAATGAAAAAGTTTCTCTTTGTTAGGATGAAGCACCATTTTGATTTATGCCCCAAAGCAGTATAGCTGGATTTTAAGGTAGATCAATTGGCATCTTTCTGATGCGCTTCCACACTGATTTCTATAGTGTCTGTACAACTTTGCTCTCCCACCAGCAGTGGATGAGCATTCCCCTTACTCTACATCCTTGCCAGCATGAGCTGTCACTTGTTTTATTGATGTTGCCCATCCTGGCCGGCATAAAATGAAATCTGAAAGTAATTTTAACTGCATTTTTCTGATGACTAATAATGTGATAAATATTTGTTTAAGTATTCCTCAGCTGACATGTAGGTCCAGTTTTTAAAAATAGCTTATTTGTTTTCTTGGTGTTTAGATTTTTTTGGAGTTCTCTCTCTCTCTCTCTCTCTCTCTCTCTCTCTGTATATATGTATGTATGTGTATATATATATATATATATATATATATATATATATATATATATGTGTGTGTGTGTGTGTGTGTGGTGTGTGTATGTGTATGTATGTATGTATTTCGAGTTCTTTATATATTTTATATATACATTAGTTCTCTATAGGATGTGTAGTTGGTGAAAATCTTTCCCCTTCTATAGCCTGCCTTTAATCCTTCACTCTAGAGGCAGAGGCAATTGGATTTATGTCAGTTCAAGGCCATCTTGGTTTAGAGTAGGAGACATAATCACAAACAGTACAAGAGATTACAATGAATGGAATCTTAGAGGACAGAGACTATGAGGATGACACCTTCGCCTTGGCTATGAAGTAATTACTTTAGGAGCAGGAGAGAAACACAAGGTCTATATAGGATTCCAGGACAACCAGAATGACATTGAGATACCCTATCTCAAGAAACAAACAAACAAACCAACCACAAATCCAACTAAAACATCAAAAAATTACAATGCAAAGAAATACAATCTTAATGTTCATTTGGAAATTGAAATAAACAGTCTTCCGTATATGACATTCTTTATGAATAGGGGAAACAGGGAGGGAGGGTGGGACTAGGAGGAGAGAAGGGAAGAGGCTATGACCAAAATGTAAAATGAATAAGTAAAAATAAGTTAAAAAAGGAAATCCTATTTTATTTGGTTTAAATTGGGAGATTTTTGTTCGCTATTGTAAAGAACTATACAGATAATAGGGGTGGGTCCTTTTGTGTGGCTTTTGTTGTTTCTTTGGTAGACTTTGTGATATAATTAAGGCTATTAGAAAACACAAAGGCTGACTTTAGCTGAGATTTTCAGTCTTTTTGTGTTGAAATCTTTTTTTCTTTTTTCCAGCTCTGACTGGCCGAACATTGGTAATACCAACCAATTTTATGGTTCATGCTTTAACATAAGGCTTTAATTCAATTGTGGACATTTAAAAGATATTTTAAACAGCAAGCACTATGAAAATTCTTAATATTCAACCACAAATGAGGCATTGTTATTTATACTGTGTAAGAGGATTCACAGTCACTGAATTATTAGTTTTTTTTTAAGCTGCCACACAGAGAATGAGACATAATCCCAAACAGTATAGGAAGAAAGAAATTAGCATGAATGGACTCTTAAAGGGCAGAGACTATGAGGAGCAAACCTATGCCCTTTCTGTGAAGAACTCACTTTACAAGCAGGAGAGACACACACAGTCTATAAATGTGAATTAATGGATAGATTCTTGAATCTTCACAGTTTTATTTGAAATCTTTTGAGTTTTTCATCTCATAACTAAATCATCATTGCAATTTTTTTTTCCTGCAGAAAAAAAAAAAAAAGCAAAAATGATCTTTGGAAAGACGGCAAAGGACATAAATTCCAATCATACTCAGTGGGAGAAAAATATTAAACATAAGCTGTCCCAGCTTTGGGCTTCCAACGAGCTTTCTTAGTACTTGCATTTCTCAGCATAGGCGTCCCTACACTCTGCTTCAAGTTGACCACATGAGTGGAAGCAGAAAAATCCAGACCTGAAGCTTCTTAAAGGAACCTAGAACGGCAAAGAATTTTCAGTTTTCTTTTGGAGGTTACGGTGCCTACTTCACTTTCTATTCAAAGCCTTAGAATACTCAGCTTTAAATAAAGAAGCATGACTTATTTTTTGGCTACAGAGGATGTCTACTACATGAAAAGTATTGTTTTTCTTTAATAATTAAAGGAAGGCTAAGGAAAACAGGCCTAATCCTTCTGTTAACCAGGGTTATAGGTTATAGGATTCCAGTTTTGATTTCTTTTTATTATTATTATTATTATTTATTGATTATTTGGGGAATCTCACATCATGAATCTCAATTGCACTCACCTCCCAGTCCTCCCATGTCCCCTACCTCTACCTCAACAACAACAATGGCAACAACAAACTCAAGTCTATTTGTAGGGTCATGTACTCATTAGAATATGGATAAACTTCTAGTGACCAGCCTTCCAAAAGGAGAGTCTTTCTCTACGTGTACCCCAGCCAGAAGCCATCAACTGTGGAGGGCCCTGTGGCAGCCAGTTCTCTGGTGCCCTTGCCAGTTTTGATTTTTCTTTCTCTTTTTAGCTTTTCATTTTTAAAAATTTTTAGTGTGTGTGTGTGTGTGTGTGTGTCTATGAATTTCACATCATACACCCCAATCCTATTCATCTTCCCTTTTCCTCATATCTGCCTTCCACCCATTCAACCTCCCTGCACAACAACACCAAAAATATCTCATTGTGGAAGCTGTTGTGTGCCACAGTGTGTCCCACAGTATACCCTTTTGTTCACACTTCTTTGCTTGCAGATGTTCGTTGTAATGACTCATTGGTCTGGTAGGATGCCTCTGGCTTCTGCTATTCTATCAATTCTGGAACCTCACTGGGACTCCTCTCAAATATACTGTTGTTGCCCTGTGTCATGAAGATCCTATAGTTTTGTATCTGTAATACTGGCTCTTTTATGCACTCCAGCAGTTTATCAGTGGGGTTGATGTTGCAGTGGACCAATTCAAAGCCCTGGATCTGGGCCTGAGAGGTATCTGAGCTGGCCAACCCACCAGCTCTCCAGCTATGATGCCCTCTGGGATGGCTCGCCAGCAACCTCCACAACCAGGGCCAGCTCTACCCTGTAGCCCAAGCAAGAGCCCGCTGTCCTGAGTACTGCAGCTGGTGAGGGACATGGCCAGTTCTCCCATTCTCATGACCCCGGAGTTAAGTTCTCCCACTTGCCATAGATGACAAAGGACAAGGGAGGAGAAGAGGGTATCTCTCCTTCATCCACACCACTGCACAGCAGACAAGAGGGAGGGCCAGCTCTCCTGTGCTCATGACCTTGGGCCAACTCACCTATAATCCATATATCTAGGGCCAGCTTTGCTATGCTGCCCAGGTAAGGTGCAGGGTCAGCTCTCCTGAGTGCTGTAGTAGGTGAGGGGCAGGGCCAGCTTTTCTCCATGCTGTAAGTGGCAAGAGGCAAGGGTGGAGAACATCTCTCTCTTGACCTTGCTTCCACAAGGGCAAGTTTCAGAGCCAGCTCCCCCACTTATATCCATGGGGCCAGCTCCCAGGATGCCCAGATGATGGGTGGGACTAGTTCTGCCCATCCCTTAGACATCAACATATCCCTGGGTGGCAGCCCAGACCAAGGACATCCCGCTGGCCTTTGGTGGTAACAGATCCCTGCTACTGCAGGGCCAAGGACCCAAAATGGCTCCTAGTGGTAGTACAGGCCAGTACCCACCATGTACCCAGGTGGCATCATTGGCTACTCATATCAGACTGTTTCTCACTACTCTCTAGTCTCTAGTTCTGCGTCTTTTTATTTTGCCCAAATCCTTCTGTTACTTTCTCTTCCATTTCTTCACCACTTACTTGCTCTTTTAGTGGCACTCTAGACCTCTGAGGGTCTGGGGTTGTCTCGGGAGTGGTTTTCAGGAATGCTATCCCCACTTATGCATTATGGCACCAGGCTGGGGTCATCTTGGGCATGGCCTGCCCTTCCAGGTCAGCATGGTCCAAGACTGGTGGTAATCTCAGGCTATCTCCTTGTCCTGGCTCCCTCACCCCAGACAGGTGGTCATCTTCTGCTTGTTTTTTAGGGAACGTTAGGCTACTAACCATTCAGATGTTCACAGGTTAGAAAGAACACTGGGTGCAGACATAGCCTCTTGCCTCTCTGCCACCTACTGACACACATATGGTACATCAGCCACACTTGCAAAGCCCTAGTGGCAGGCAGTGTTGATTTCTTAATGTAGATGTTTATATTATTATTATTAATTTTACTGCACAAAAGCTAGAAGACATTTGGTTCCTGCAGTTTCCAACTCCTCTGTTGGACTTTGAATATGAAATATCCCTCATAGATTTATGCTTTGGATTCTTGGTCACAAGCATAACAACTGTTTTAAAAGCTGTGGGTGCCAGTGCGGAAGAAGCAGATCACTGTGGTGAGTGTTTGAAGAGTGTCCTGCTCCTCTTTCTGGTCCCACTGATTAATAGTTTTTTGTCATATGAACAGCATCTAACTCACACTTCAACTGCCATAGTCTGAGGCACATTGCTTAGTGAGATCTCTAAAACTGTGAGCCAAAATAAAGACTTCCCTACTTAAGTTGCTCTGTCAGGCATTTTTCACAATTACAGGTCACAGTTACACAAAAGCAATGCATCGTCTGTTTTGGATTCCCCACTCCAGTGTTAATCCTGGCTGTAACTGTTAATATGACCCTTGAGAGGTTGCTGCAAGGGCACAGATTACAGCTTTCTTCTGTGCAACAGAACCACTGATTACGCCACTGAATTCTTGGACACTAATATTTAACTATTTTATCTCCTTGATCCTCTTAGCCACTCTAAAAGAGCTTATCCATTATCATCTCCAAGACAGATACCTAGATACCTTTGGATACCCAGATCTAAACCATATAGCTTGCATGTGATAGAGTAAGAGATGAATAGCCAAAAGTGAAGACAGAATCAGAATAGTACTGTACGGTCACATCAGTGTTTTTACCATTGAGCTTTCCCAACATTGCTTGGTAGAGGGAAGGTGCCTGTGCCCCTGCACTGATGACCACATTATTATTTTCCTTCAGCTATATGCTCCTCTCAAACTACTAAATAAGATGGGTCTCTTCTATGCATAAGATTTTTAAAATGTATCATAAAGGATGTTTTATTGTTCTAGCTATGGTAAAAAAATTTCTTATTGCTTAAATATACCCTTTGGATATGATTCCTTTTTTTTTTTTTTTTGGATATGATTCTAACATGACTCTTAAGTGTGCTTATTTATAGCTGAGATAATACATCATGTGTGTGAAAAGCTCTCTTACCCGTTATAAATGTGCTTAGCACTTCTCTTTCCTAGCCTCAGAAATCTTTCTTTCCTTATAGTTTTATTGCTTTTTAATACCTCTGTCCAATTCCACTCATTACTCTGAATCTTCTCGGTCAAAACACATATATTCATTTATTTAACACATCTTAATGCTTCTGTGTTCCCAGCACTATCTTAGACACTAAGATTATCAGCATGAACAATTCCTCCCCAAAATTTATAAGCTAGTAATTGAGGGTAGATAAGTAATGATTAATGTACAAAGTCTGATAATTTAATGTGTTATGTAAATATAAAAATAAAGTACATCATTTATTAAAGATTGAAGGGTGATTCCCAGTTGGAGGGATCCTTGGAGCGAGGCTTGAAGGTCATTTAGATTTTACAGGGAGAAGAGGAAACAGGGAATTCAGAGCAGAAGGGATACGATGTATAAGCCTACGAGGAACACAAGAACACAAAAAAAGTTGCAGACTGCTTCCTAATGGGAACAGTTTCTAAGACATGAATCTTTCTGTGGTATTTGTCCTGTTGTGAACAGTGCATAGAATGTACTCACATGAACTAAGTTGGCTATGGTGTCGCTTAGCAACATAATCTGATGTGATCATGGTTTGTATGCTGCCACTGACTGCAACATTTGCTGTCTGTCTGTTCTTGTAAACGGCTTCACTGAAAAGCTCACATTGGGAATGACTGAGAAAGCTGGAGTGATTATGGTTTATCTTAAATGAAGGCGTTTGAGTTTGACTCCCAACATCTTTAATAATAAGAGAAGGATTTTCAAGTACAGAAAAAATGGGATGGAATGCCAGAATACTTCATAAATGAAATTTCCATTCTTTTATATAAACAGCTGTACTAATGACAGTGTATCAGAAGGGAAATTCAGTTAGGGTAAACTCTCAGACTTGATCATCTCTTTTCAAGACCAGTATATGAAGAAGAGACTGATGAGAAAGAAGAAGTCACCTTGAAACTTAGACCAAAGAACTGGGTATGCAGAATCACATGTTTAAGACAAACCTAGCTGAATCTACTTAGTTCATTCCTCCAAGAGAGTGCAATTTGTGTTTCATGAGCTCCATAGGTGTGCCCCACTAAGTTTTCTCATAGTTGTATTGGTGGCAATCTGATTCTTTGCTTCCAAATGTAATTTTGGCTGCGGTTACAGGGCATTTTTACAGAGCACATGGTAGAGATAGGTACAGAGTCAGGACCTGGGTGTACAAACTTAGTTCTGAGCTAGATCCAGAAAAAGTAGACAAAGTCAAGATATGCCTCCTTCAAAACCATACAGACCTGGCCATGAGGACTGTGGTGTCATGGATGAGAAATATCCCTCATAAGCTCACGTTTTTGAACACTTGGTCCTCATTTGCTGGTACTGTTTGGTTAGACGGTATATAGCCTTGTTGGAGAAGGAATATCACTGAGGTTAGGCTCTCAGTGTTCATGGCCTTACCCCACATCTAGTTGTTTTTCTCTCTGCTTCATACTTGTAGTTGAGGATTTCATCCCTCAGCTTCTTGCTCTGGTCACTTGCTGCCATGCTTCCCCTAACATCTGGACTCTTTCTCTGAAACCACAACCTCAAATAACTCTTCTTTCTGGAGGCTGTGTTAGCCATAGTGCTTCACCACAGCAACAAAAAAATAACTAACACAAGGACCAACAACATTTTGGGTTAAGACTGATGAAGGAGACGCTCAGAAACCATTCCCGAACTCAGCATTTCAGATCCTGCCTTAGGTATGTCTTAGTTCCAGCCCTCGCCCAGGTCCATGTCTTATAATGTCACATTCCTGTTTCAGGAGCTGAGCTTATTATAACGGTCTTCAAAACCTGCTTCCAATTAGGGCTCAGAAAACTGAGTTGATTAATAGAAAAGTCAGTGTATATATTCTTCAGGTCCAGCAGGGTGAATTAAGGCTAATTAACCCTGATGCAGAGGTTTTTAAAAGATCATTGAAGGAATGATTACTTTCAGAGGAATGGGTTAGGTTAAGTAAGCACATCTCTCTGGAACACTGAGGCACTTAGGCACTAGCAGAGTAGAAAGCTAATTTTCCATCTCTTTCTCAGGGCAAAGGGAACTTCTGTCACTTGACTCTGATACCAAGTGTATCTGAGGTGATGTTGGAGCCAACTGTGCAAGGTGAGCACATCTAACATTCAGCCCCGTGCCATGGCCCAGCCAGTGCCTTCAGTTGGCAAACCCAAAGTGACACCAGCCCCAGTTGTCAGGGCTACTGAAGTGATTGACAGGAGTCTCCAAAAGCTAGCAGGACAGGAAAGGATGAAAAATTCATTGACTTGGAGAGGAAACAAAATTAGTAGTGTCTTTAAAAAAATTAATAAAAAGATATTTTTATTGACTTTTGGAATAAACTACTTGGGTTTTTGTACAATTTTTTTCTTTTAGCACTCTAAAATTTTGTTTTATAGACTCAAAATATCATCATACTTATAAGGTGGGAGCAGCTTTGCAATTGGGATACTTGTTACAGTTAGATTTTTATGAATGGTGAAGGTGGTTTATTCCTCAGCACTTCAATGGGCTGCAGAGATCTATAGTTTTAAGTTATATGGTAGCAATACCTTTTCCAGTGCAAATGAAAGAATTATCTGTCCATGGTGTGTATTATGAATATACTTAAATGTGTCAACACTGTTTTCAAAGCTTCTATGATAATTACTTTTTATGACACATAGTAGTTGTACATATATTTATGGTGCAGTGTGAGATCACAGTGCATATATACAACATACAATAATCATGGTAATTAGCATATCTGTCATTTCAGAGACTTAATTTTTTGTGTTGAAAACATTTGAAAGCCCCTATTATTAGCTATTCAGAGTGTTCAGTTAACTCTTGACAACTGTGGTAATTTTGGGTAAGAAATCCCTCTCTCCCTTCCTCCCTCCCCTATAGTTTTTGCTGTCAGGGCACTTGTTCCCATTTGGTGGTGCTATTTGAGGAAGCTTAAAAGGTGGAACCTTGTTGGGGGAAGTGTGTCACTCGGGTCAGGTATACTAGTTTGATTTCTATTGCTACGATAAAAACCATGACAAAAAGAAAAGGAGTTATTTCATCTTACAGCTTAGAGCCCATTCTTGAGGAAGCCAAGGCAGGAACACAAGCTGGAGCATGATCAGAAAACAGAGGGCATGGAGAGATGCTGTTTATTGGCTCGCCCTGTTTCATTATGCCCCCTGGAGCTACATGCTCAGAGGAAGTGCCTTCTAAATCAGGCTGGGCCCATAACAGTGATCAGTCAAGAAAATGCCCCACAAACTTGCCTATGGACTACTCTAGCAGAGGTATTTTCTCAGTTGTGGTATCTTCTGCCCAGATGACTCTAGTTTCTATTAAAAAAAAATCAGTGCAGTAGGCTGTGAGATGTAAAAAACCTCATGCTGTGGTTCAGCTCCTTCTTCTTCTTGCCATCATGCCTGCCATGCACTGTCATGACTCCCCACCACCAAGGACTAATATACTTCCAGAACCATAAGTCCAAATAAACCTTTCTCTAAGTTGTGTTGCCATAGGTTTTAATCCCAGCAACAGGAAAGTAATTAATACAGCAACAATAGTTTCCTTACTGTGCTGTAGAGCATTTGAAAGTTATTTTCCTACTCAGCTGTGTCTCTACACTAATTAACCATTTTTCTTACATTTTCTCATCTCTCTCAGAACCATGAATCTATTCTCTATTCTCTGAGATCAACCTTTTCATTTCCATATGTATGTGACAACATGCAGAATTTATCCTGTGCCTGGCTTATTGAACTTAACATAATGTCTTCTACTACAATTTATATTGCTTGAAATGGTAGCATTTCATTCTTTCTATGGCTCAGTTTTGACTCAGTTGTGACTATTTATT